GGGGGGGGGGGGGGGGGGGGGGGGGGGGGGGGGGGGGGGGACCCGATGCGAGGGCAACAGCAGGCAAGGGGCAAAGCATCGGCACAGCCGACCGGGCGCACGTACCCTGTGATGGACCGCGACCAGGCCCGAGTGAAGCTCTCCCGAATGGAGCCCGGCGGCACGGCATTTCGGGGGAGCAGCTGGCTGACGGTCTCCGCGGTGATGATCGACGCCTCGACGGCCGACGGCAGGGCCTCGGCCCCCGGGGCGGCGGCAAGCCCATCGGCATCCGCCGGGATGACCACGGCGTCGCCGTACTCGAGCGTGCTCATTGAGGGGGCAAGGGGGAAGGGGGCAAAGCACAAATAACAGAGGGGGGAAGGGCGGGGGATACCGGCCAGCGGGGAGGAAGGAAGGGAGTCTCTTGCCCGCAAGCGGACCCGGGCCCGGCCCCGGGCGAAGGCACCCCCCGATGAGATGCGGTCCGTGCGGCAGTGGCCGAGGGAAGATGCGCCAGGGGTAAGGCTGTGTGTGTGTGTGGCTCGTGCGCGCATTCCACGCGCCTGCTGCATGGCCGTGCGCGCGCGCGCGCGCGTGCAGGGTGCCCCCTCCTCCTTCTTCCCCGATGGTCTGTCGCCGCCCCCCCAGTGCCACAGGGCGTCCCCGGGGCCCTATCCACGCGCTGGCGCGGGGTCTTCCGGCCGTCGGCTGCCCCCTTCCGCGGCCCGGCACGGCCGGGGCCCCTTCTGCAGCCGCCCCCATATGACGAGTTCCCCCGGGGCGACCGTCCCCCGCCCCCGCCGCCCGCCCTTGCGCTCGCCCGCGCCAGCCCGCCGCCCGCCGCCAACCAAGCAGATTGTCAATAGAAATCCAGATACCGCCGTATCGACGCCGATCCCGTGACGGCGTCACGCGCGACGCCGCGGTCAACCCACAATTGCTCCTGCGCGCTTGCTCGGCGCCGCACAGGCGTTCCGTCAGCCGGGCCCGGGGCCGGGAAGCTCCGACCTTGAGGGGCACCAAGACATCACACACACACACACACACACACACACACACACACACACACACACACACAGACAACTGGACGAGCGCCGGGCCGTCCCGCACAGCCCCCCGCTGCGCCGCGCCTTGCGGGAGGTTTTCCAGACCCAACCCGGCAAGGGGGCCGAGCGGTGGAGGACAAATGCCCGCCCAGCACACCCTCGGATCTGTCCTTCCCCGGCGAAGGGCAGGGCCAGTGTGCCTGAGAGCAGGGGAAAAAGAGCCCAAGAAGAGGGAAGAATGTCTATTCGCAGGGCGGGGCGACAGGAAACAGAGGGGGAGAGGGAGAGAAGGGCACCACGCCCGGTGCTGCATGCTGCACAGCAGCCGGGCGGAGCAGTGGGGGGAAGAACTAAACAAGGGGGAGAACAAGGACAAAGGAAGGGGGAGAGGCATGAAGCGTGATGCGCGCCGACGCGTGGACGGCTCGCCGCTAGCCGCACTGCCGCTGCCGCTGCGGCCCGGGGAGGAAAAGGGGGGAAGAGAGAAATACAGCAGAAGGGAAAGAGAGCCCGCGACAGGAGGGGAGGGGGATTACCAGCAGGGAACTGTGTGCGTGAGGTGTGCACCGAGCACCACAATAAAGGGGGCGGGCGGCTGGCCCGGCGCCCCCCCTTGCGTGCGCGCGCGCACAACCCCCTCCCCTCGCTGCCGCCTCCGGCCCCCCGCGCCGCCTGGCGCACACATGTGCATTTGTTGCATGTGCACCGCCGCGCGGGAGGGAGGGGGGAAGGGGAGGAAGAAAATGGGGGAGAAAAGAAAGGAAGGACGCCAAGTACATGGGGGAGAAGAGGGGAGGTGGGGTGACGAAGGGGACTTGCGCAGCCCGCCCCCCTTACCGGGGAGGAGCACCGCCATGGGCCATGTGCGACATCACATCGAGCGACTCGTCGGTCGACGTCAGGAAGGACGTCGACCCGTTCTGCGTCGTGAAGGAGGACCCGTCGGAGGAGCTGCTCCAGACGGACGAGCCGCTGGAGTCGGAGGAGCTGCTACCGTCGTCATCGTCGCCGCTGCTGCTGTCGCTGTCGCTGCTGTGCAGCGGCGAGATGGACATCCGCCGGCCGGTGGCATCACCGCCACCGCCGGCCGCCGCCGGGACGCTCACCACCACCACCACCTCGTCGCCGCTGCTGGCCAGAATCTCGCGCGTGCTCTCGGCAGCCAGAGACTCGTCCGCCGGGTCCGCCGGGGCGGCGGCGGCGGCGGGCGGCGGCGGCGGCTGCTGCCCGGCCGGCGAAGGGGTCATCATCCCCGCCGCGCCGGCCGCAGCCGGTCCACCACCGGCGCCATGGGCATCATCGGCATCACCGCCAGCAACGCCCTGGCCACCAGCACCATCATCATCGCCGTCGGACGGCGGCGGCTGCTGCTGCCCGGTAGTCAGGATGGCCGCCTCAGCGATGTCGGGCAGATGCTGCTGCTTGGGGCCGGCGGCCGTGGCGGCGGCGGCGGCGATTGCCACCGGCGCGACGCCGCCACCGCCGCCGATATCGCCATCGGCGCTGCTGGCACTGCTGGCGCTGCTGGAGAAGGCCGAGGACTTGTGCTCGGACAGGGGCGTCCCGGTGGCCAGCATCACATCCACCGCCGGGCCGCCGCCGCCACCGGCAGACCCGGCCACCAGGGCGGCCTCCTTGCCGGACCCCAGCAGCAGGGCCTCCTTGCTCGTGTGGCCTGCCACCATGGACACGCAAACCCGATGCCCACACGGGGCCCCGACCAGGGCCCCCGGGCAGTGGCACTCGCTCTTCAACAGGGCCAGCGCATCCATCGAGCACACCACCATCGCGCGGCTGGACAGCGCCCCGGCCGCCAGCTCGTCCTGATCCTCCCGCGAGGGGACCACCGGCAGGAGGGTCAGCTCCCCGGTTTCCAGGAACCCATCGGCCAACGGGCAGGACAGGTGCTGGCCCGAGCGCTCCAGCTCCCGGACCAGCTGCTGGTCATCCGGCAGGAAGACAATCGAGAAGGAGCAATACACCAGCCGCGGCAGGATGCCAGTCACCAGGACCAGCAGCAGCACCAGCCAGAAGCCCGGCGTGCTGAAGGCATTCGGCATGACGCCATACAGATCGAAGAAGAAGACAATCGGCAAGTAGGCCGCCACCACATGGTACACCAGGAAGATGGCCGCCGACAGGACAATCCCCGAAGCACCGAGCCAGGACATGTGGTTGGTTTGCAGGGTGAAGGTCACCAGGCAGCAGCCCACAATGCAGGAGATCAGCACAAACCCGGCATCCACCTGGTCAATGGTCCGACCATCGGCCGACGTCACCGCGGCCAGCTCATCCGCCAGCATCATGAAGTACACCGTGAAGCAGACCAGCCCCTGGAACAGGCCGTCCAGGCAATTGAGCCAGAACATGCGCGTGGAAAAGCGCTTGTGGTAGTCGCGATACAATTGCGGGAAGAGCAGCGCCGCTTGCGAGGTATTCGGCTGGTCGAAGATGGCCACCACAATCGGCGGCAGGCAGGTGAAGGCCAAATTGTAGAACATCTGATACGAAAAGTGGTACATCATCTGCGCCGAGGCCATGGACACAATTTGGTACATGAACATCGGGAAGGTCAGGGTGAAGTTCTTCTGGAAGAAGAGGTACATGGCCTCGGTCATGCGGCTGTACGACCACCGGCCATGGACCAGCAGCAGCCGCCGCAGGAAGCGGAACCGCGCCAGGCTGTAATCCGACGCGGCCACCGCCTGGCGGCCCTCATTGCCGCTGATGCCGACACCGATGTGCGCCGTTTGGATCATGCTCACGTCATTGGCACCATCGCCAATGGCCAGGGTCAGCCCCCGGCGCATGTCCGACTCCTTGACCAGGCGCACGATCTCCGCCTTTTCCAGCGGCGAAATCCGACAGCAAATGACCGACCGGAAGTGCTGCGCCAGCCGCAGGAACCGGTCCTGGTGCTGGGCCAGCCCCTCGAAGAAGGTCCCATCCAGCACGGCCACATGCCCGGAGGGGGAGGAGGCGGCACCCTCGCCGGCCGAGCTGGCCGCCGCCATCACCGCCGCCTCGGCCTGGCTCAGGAGCTGGTCCATGCTCGGGGCCTCGGCACCGGGGCCCGTCAGCGCATCGGCATCCAGCCGGAACTCCGCCGCCAGCTCCGCCAAAGCACCCACATCCCGGGTGATCGGATGCAGCATGTCCCCCGGCCGGATGAGCCGGCAGGCGGTGGCGATGTTGACGGCGGTGGTGCACTTGTCGCCGGTCAGCACCCAGACATTCATGCCGGCCAGTTGCAACTGCTCCAGGGCCTCCGGCACGCCGTCCTGCAGGCGATCCTCGATGGCCGTCACGCCCAGCAGCGTCAGGTCGGTTTCCAGCTCGCGAGTCAGCCGGCCGAGCAGCGCATCCCGCCGGCCGGACCCATCATCCGCCTCGGCCAGGGCAGCCTGATACCGAGCCATCCAGGCATCGAAGTCCGCCCGGCGCATGGCCCGATACCCGATGCACAGGGTCCGCAGGCCGATCTGGCTGTACTGGTGGAGCCCATGCCGCGCGGCGGCCACCGCCTCCGGGTCATTGCGCCCGGCGGCGGTCGACAACCGCGGCAGGATCGAACTGTCGTCCCCCTTGCTGTAGACATAAACCATGTCCTCGGCCCCGGGGCCGGTCGCCGCCGTCGCCCCCGCCGGGGTCACCACCACCGACATCATCTTGCGCGTCGAATCGAAGTCCACCTGGTGCAGCTGGTTGAAGCGCCGGACTTGCGACCCGAGGACCGTCACGCTGACCGTGTCGCGATCGCGCTCCCGGAAGACATACCCAAAGTTCTTGGCCGCCTTGACGAGACTCGTCTCATCGGAGGACGACCCGCTGTAGGCAATCCGGAAGGCCGCATCGTCGCCGGAATAGTCGTGCGGCTGCGCGGCCGCCGCCACCATCGACGGCGAGGGGGGCACCATGCCGGCGACCCCGGCCCCGGCCCCGGCCCCGGGCCCGGCCTTGCTGCTGGCCGCCCGATGCCGGCACCGCCCATGCAGCGGATCATCCCCGATGGTCGGATCGTCGTCATCGCTGTCGGTGGGGCTGCTGCTGCCGCGCGACCCGACCGACCCCGTGTCCCCGCCGATGACGGCCAGGCCGTCGGCCGGGTGGTGATGATGATGCCGGTGGCCGGCCAGACACCCATCATCGCCAGCATGATGGTGATGATGCTGGCCATCCGCCCGGTCGTCGGCCTCCCCGCCATGGGGCAGGAGCTCCGACTGCACCGAGTGGCACAGGGCCAGGGCCAGTTGGAATTCCGCCAACACAGCCACATGGTACTGGTCCGGGGTCAGGCGCTCGGCCGCCTCGGCCAGCGAAGACCACCGGAGGTCGTACGACTGCATCAGATGCTCGGCCATGTGGCGATCGGCGAAGTGGAAATCCGAGTCGATGTGCGCCGCGAAGCAGGGGTTCTGCCGGTTTTGCACCTGCCAGCTGGGCGGCCCGGACACCGTCTCAATGAGAACCATCTCCCCGCTGGGGCTGAGCACCGACATCGGCAGCAGGACATCCTCCGGGTGGTGGTCGGCCACCATCCCGGGCAGGAAGCCGCCGGCCGCCGCCGCCGCGCGCCGGGTGGACGCCACGCCGCGCTCCAAATCCGGCGCCTGCCGCGAGGGGTCCGCCTGCAGGTAGTCCGTCATGCGGTCCAGGCTGGGGCTGGACCGGGTCCGGCGCAAGTCCGCCGAACTCTCCATCCCATAGGCCCGGCCATTGACCGTGCAAAAGCGGAAGCGCATCTCATTGGTGGTCAGGGTGCCGGTCTTGTCGGTGAAGATATACTCAATTTGGCCCAGATTGTCGTGGATATTCCACGACCGGGGGATGCACCGTTCGCCGGTCTTGCGGTGCTGCAGCGCATCATCCTCCCGGATGAAGTACGACTGCATGAGGCGGATGAATTCCAAACTGGCATACAGGGCAATCGGCACGATGTTCTGCGTGATGATCATCATGGTGAAGACCGCCATGAAGCCCACCAGCCCGGGGCTGGTCCAGCGCAGCGACAAGAACGGCACCGGCGGCTGGATGTCCAGCAGGTGGGCCATGCGCACGCCATGCACCACGCCCACCACCACGCACAGGAGCACCGTGCATGTCAGGAGAACCAGGATTTGCCGGTTGAGAATCCGGTCCATGGAGGTGCGCTTGTGTGGCCGGAGGCTGGTGTGCTTGACGATGCGCGTGGAGGTGCCCACATACAGGGCCACGCCGATGACCCACTCGGTGGTCCGCAGCGACGACCCGCGCAGGGCCACCGACGAGATGTTGAAGGGGGTGGTGGTGCCGGTGCCGGTGGCGCCGCCCACATGGATGACGCCCTCCAGGCTGTTCATGTCGTACGAGGGGGCCGGCACGGACACCCGCAGCCCCGGGCCACGGAGCATGGCCGCCAGGGTGATCTGGCTGCGCAGGCCGGAGGTGACCCGCGGCGCGAAGCGCGGCTTGAGATTGGTCTCGCCATCGAGGCTCTTGGTTTCCACGAAGAAGGCCCCGGTCGGGGCCTCGCCGTCGCTGGTGGCCAGGATCAGCATGTCCGCCGGGAAGGTTTCATTCTTGCCCACCAGCAGGATGTCCCCGCGGCGGATGTCACGCCAGTGGGTCTCGACAAAGAGCCCGTCCACGAACTTGTGCGTGGCCGAGTAGTTGACCGACCGGTCGATCCGGTGGCGCTTGATGTCCTCGTAGAGGTCCTTGACGGCGGCCGACACGAGGACAATCACCAAGGGCAGGGGGGTCTGTGTGGGCGAGCGTGAGGGTGTGAGTGGGGGCGGGGGGCGGGGGGCGGGGGGGGGGGGGGTAGGGGGTCTCGCCCTGTCGGTGGCATGAGATGGCCCCACGCGGGCCATGGCGGCACAGCGGGGAAGGAGGGGGGGGGGGCCGGCACACGTACCAGGGCAAAGGGCCATGCCCGGAGGGCCGAGAACACCTGCAGCAGGATGATCAGCAGAAAGTAGGTCATGGCCACGTTGTTGAACTGGAAGAAGATGTTCTTCGGCAGGAAGTTCCAGTAGGTGTACTTGGCGGTGATGACCTCATTGGTGGCTGGCCGCGCCCGGGGGAAGAGGCTCCGGTAGAGCCCCTGCACCCAGGTGGGGTACTTGGCCAGCGAGGGGGGCGTGACGCGCGCATTCTCCGGGTGATCGGGGCTGTCGTGCTGTGGGGAGCGGGTGGGGGTGGGGGGAGGGGGGTTAAAACCGGGCGTCCATGCGCGGCGATGCGCAGAGGGCGCCAGCGAAGAAGCACAGGGCGGGGGAGTCGGCCGCCTGTCGGCCCGCGTGGCACACGCACCGGCAGCCAGGTGGCCCGGATGGAGTCCAGCGAGAGGGCCTCCTCGCCCGGGGCCGATGGCGCGCCGGTCGGCGAGGTGGCGGCCAGCGCGCCGGAGGGCTCTCGGCTGGAGTCCTTGTCACTGTCGATGTGGGGAGGGGAGAGGGCGCCGCCATCGGGGGCGGTCTTGCCACCGGCGCCGTTGAGGCCCGACGGGTGGGCGCCCTCCTCAGGGTCTTTCTTGAGCGAAGTGAGCTCGATGGTCACCATGGTGATCGGGCTCCGTCGCGGTTCCTGGCCGGGCACAGCCGGAGGGGGGGG